TGCTCAGCCAGCAGCATCAGCTGAGCTCTGCTCATTCCCACTCTTGAATATTCATTGTAACCAAATACAATATATCCTGAATATTAAACAAAAGCTACTCAGGGCAGGAATATCAATCCCTCAGCAAAGCTGCTGGTTGTTTGGGGAACAGAGGGCTGCCAGCTGTGGGGAGAGGGACAGCATTGCTGCTCCTCCATCTCCCAGGGAGGTGGTGCAGGGGGAGGAGGGCTGGTGGCCTTGCAGCAGCCACCCTGCATGCAGCCCAGGAGATGCAAGGGCACCCGGCCCCTGGGCACAGCCCACTCCACCCAGCCCTGCAGCCCAGCGCTGCCCAGCCTTAAAGCAGGGCTACGCTCTCCAAAACTGCTGGCTATGCATTTTTTAAAAGCAAAAATGGACTTTGTTTCCCCCAAATGAGGTGTTCACAGGGTGGCACCTTCCAACATAAGCAGCTCGAGACCCCTTGTCCCATCCCACTGAGCTCTGCCCAGCACAGTCTGCCTTCAGGGAGGGCTTGTCACTGACATGGCTGAAGTGACAGGAGCAGAAAGAGGGGAAAACCCAAACAAAATAGAAAATGCAGCAGCTGTAAATTCTCCAGAAACGCAGCCATTGGATGGGGAAGGATGGAGACTCGACCATCCACAGCCCCTCTGTGCAAGAGGGTTGCCTGAAAGAGAGGCCTTTCCGAGCAGCTCAACAACCTGCAGAAGGGAAAGGTAGACAGGCAACCACACCCTGCTGCAGAAACACGAGGTCTTTGATCAAAGAAGGTGACACCTGTTATTTAAAAAGAACCTCACCTGCAAACTATCTTTCTCCCTCCAGAGAGCTTGGACTCCAGTTCTGGGCTGCCATCTCCTAGGACACAAAGGCTAGAGATGAATCCTCCAGCCTCATCCCAAACATAGAGCCACCAAGGGATTTTCACACAGTTTTATGCTTTCATTTTCCAGCTCAGGCTGCTCTTGAGATAGCAACATTGAAATCATCTTGGATGTGAAGTAGGTTTGCAAAAAGTGAGAGATTAATCTAATCAAAGCAGTTTGCAGCTCTGCTACCTCAATATCCATAATAGCTTAGTTATTAATAAGGTAAAAAAGGAACACTCTCCCTAAAAAGATTTCTGGGAAGCAAAGCAAATTATCTAAGATCCCAGCCCTCAGTGCTGGTTCCTGGCCCCCGTGACCTCCAAACAATCAAAATTTAAGCAGGGATGAGGGTGATCTTCTGGGTGTTCAGTGCCAGCTGAGGGCAGCGATGGGATGAGAACCCTGTGGTGGGGACCCTGGGAGTGGCACAGGTCCCCCTGCTCAGGGAGGTCACTTGATAACAAAGCAGCTCTGAGATAACACTAAAAACACCCAGAGCTGCTGAGAAGCTCATGGCTGAGCTGGGGGCACCCAAAGGCCCCTTGCCCCCACAGCTGAGGCTGTGGCACCTGAGGGGACACGTGTCCCCTCCTCAGGTCCCCACAGCAGTGGGGGGTCCCAGCCTCCACCACCACCGACCTGGAGTGAGCCTTGGCTGAGGCTGCATCCCCTTCTCTCCCCTTCTGGAAATAAAGCAGCCAACGCATCCCCGATTCAGGGCTCAGGTGCCAACAGCTCAGACACCACCAGAACTCTGCTCCTACTGGGAACTGCCCCATCTGTTCTGTGGGAGTCTCATCAGTCACAACTGCAGCCCTTGTCCTCAGCTGACTCTTCTTGGTGTGAAATAGAGATATACACACCAAAATTCCTCTGAGCCCCACGGCAGTGCAGTAAATTATAAATCGAGCAGCAATCTGTGACTCACCCTGCACTAGTGGGAACACACTTGAAGCTCCCAGGTGGAACAAGTCCCATGGGGAAGCGTGACGAAGGGTTTTCCTCAATTTTCTACCCTACCAGTCTCCTAAAAGCCTTGGAATCACTACTGCTCTCTGCACAATTTGTCAGCACAGGGAGGCTTTGTTAATCCTGGTCTCACTCCCACAGCCCCACGGGAGGCAATGCTGCTCTCACAGGTAACAGAGGATGGGTTTTCCACCTGGCTCATGGCTCTTTCTCCAGCAGAGAGCGGATGTGTTACAAAACACCACACTCCTCTTTCTTTTGCATATTTCCAGCCTGTCAATCTACAGAAAACACAGTACCAGCAAAGGAAAAGCCTCCTCAGAGCTGGCTCTTCTCTGGCTCTTTAAAGGGAGCAGAGCTCATGGAAAAGCCACTGACAGTGGCCAGTAATTAAGGCAAAATCCTTTCGTCAAATACTCCTTCCACCAGAAATCGTGGATGGGGGAGCCAGCTGGAGCTCTGCACACAGAGCTGTCCTTGCTGTATCCCCCAGTGCAACAGAGCTGTTCTTGCTGTATCCCCCAGTGTAACCCTGCCCCAGCACGGCAGCAGCACTGCAGCATGGGCAGGACCCAGGCAGGCACTGCAGAGAGGATGCCAATTACAAATTTCAAGCAATCTGAATTTATAATAGGCTGAGATTTCACTCGGCAGATAATGCACTGCTGTCCTGGGCACTCGCTGTATCTAGGTCAGGCCATTAGTTTTGCTCTTAATCTACACACAGTTTTAATTTCATCTTTAATGTCGACTTCCAGCTAGTGCTCAACATCTCAACCCCTCCCACACCCACGGAGAGGGAAAACAAGCAGCACCATCCTGATGTATGCTCCCAGCCATGCTCACACAGTGGGAGCATGCACTGCCTGCTGCACTGGGGAATCAGAGAACCATGGAATGGTATCTGCACCTGACAACCCTTGACATGAACCTTCCCAGGGACAGAGAATGTCACCGCATCCATCCCAGCTTCAGAAAGCTCTTGGACATGATCCAGCACTCCATCCTCTGCCCCATCCTGCCTGGCATCCATGGGATCCCTGCTTAAATCCAGAAAACTGCTCACACCAGCTGGAATTGTAATTTACGACATAAACAAATGGAGTAGAAGATGCACAAAATAAACCCATCACATGCATTAAAGGGATTAAAGATGGTTCCTAAAACATCTGGAGGTGTCTAATACAGTAGTATGGATCACTGCAGAGCATCCACAGGGAAGTCAGGCTGCTGGCACACGCTGGAGACTTTAGATGTAAAACCAGCTTGGAAGAAAGGGGAGCACTGGGAGAAGGTTTCTCATTTACACACACTAGTCCAGTTTCAGGCACTCAGCTCTTCTAAAGAGACAAAAAAAATTCCCCACCAAAGATTTCTGTGGAAAGCACAGGCCTTCTGACAACAGGAAGTTACTCACTTCAAAACCCAATTTTTCATCAAAAAAATCTAACTTGAAAGGCGTTCCCAGCTCACTCAGGATGCGGGATCAAAGCCAGGGATTAAGTGCATCTGCTGACTGCTGGCTGCCTGAGAGCATTGCAGAGCTTCAAGAGCAGCCACCGAGCTCAGCAGTGACGTCCTGAGGAGGGGACAGAGGGGCAGAGCCCTGCCTGGGCACAGGACATGGGGCAGGCCCATGGGAGGCTGCAGCAGCTGCTCCACTGGCCACAGATTCCCAGGCAGCAGCATCCTCTCAGCACATATTTAAGGATTTCAAGTATTTCAGGTACTTGCAAGGATTTACACTGCTGCCAAGGAGCACACAGTGGTCAGAGCTTGGACCGAGGCCACGCAAGGAGATGGCATAAGATGCCAAAACAAATACTGGCTCTGTTGGTGAAGCCCAGCATCAATCCTGAGCAATTTCTGCAGTGGAGGCAGAGTGTCAGGAAAAGAGACACCCAAAACCAGCCCCACCAATGCACAGCCAGAGGCAGGGATGCGCCGGAGGATGAACCAGAAGGACACGCACTGAAGTCCTCTCCAGGTAGCTGTGGCCACACTCACCCCTGCTCCCCCAGCAGCTCCAGCCCTGCAGAGACTGAGGAGCTGGGCAGGATGAGCGGCACAGGAAGAACGCTTTCAGCAGCGCAGAGCTTCCGTCCATGGCCAAAATCACTTCGGACTCTTATTTAAAAGGGAAAAGTGTTCTGGCAACCTGCTAGGCTTTCTCAAAAGGATTTGCCTGGCTGGCACAGACTGGATCAGGGAGGAATATTCCAGTGTTTTAATTTCTCTGCCCAGGTTTTATTGCATGCAAACATACATGGTCACTGCTTTTGACGGTTTCCAATTTGCTAATTGAGACATTTCCTCATGGAAAAAGAATGTCCTGGACTATGGACAGGGCTGCTGGCGCAGCTCTGCACACCGGGGAAGCCTAGGTGAGGATGATGAGATGGGAGACAGGCAGGCAAAGCAAGCCTCCCCAGGCCCCATTTGGCAGCACTAACCCAAAGCCAAACCTGGTGGCTGGAACATGAAGAAGAAACACTTAGGACATCCCATCCCATTCCTCATGCCATCATGGGTGTTTAGTCACAGCACTGGGCACCTCGCAGCAAGTTCAGGAAAGTCTGGAGACAGGAAGGTGGGAAACCAGCCCAAGAAACTGGACATCTAGGAAGATTTCTTTCCAGGCACCAGTTTGTTTAAAAACAACGAGGAAAAAATAATCTGGTCTGCACAAAAAAAACCCCAAGTGTTCTGTGTTTTTGCTGGAGCATTGAAGTATTCCTTCTGCCCTCAAAATACACGAGAGCGGAGAGAGTGGCTTTGTTCTGAACATGAACAGGTCAAAGATCCCAGAAAAGCACTTTTGGGGCAGAACGGGCCTAGAACATGAAGGGAGAAAGGCCAGAGGAACCAGCAGCTTAGAAAGGCATAAGCAGGGTTCTAATGGGAACATGACTGCTGCCAGAGCCACGCCCCACCAGCACGACCTCAGATGGGACTTGCAGTAGGTTTTTTTCATTTAAAAAAAAAGGAATGAAAAGTGTTGTGCAGGCTTGTTCAGAATTCATGGGGGGGTGGAGAAGGAATTCAAACTTCATATAGGTCAAACATCATCCACACAGGTTCACATCACATTCACTTCAACCTCAGCTCCTACATAAAGACTGAGCTTCAGAGCACTCTGGAGGAATCCTGCATCCTTACCTTCAGCTTCTCGAAGCGATCGCTGAGCGACGCCACTTGGTGGTCGCGGTGGCGGCCCACCAGTTTACATAAGGCACAGATGAGCTGGTCATCAGCGACACAGTACATGTTCACCTTCTCGTTCTCGTGCTCCAGGCACGTCAGTCCGCGGAAGTGCGCGTCGGGCACGGGCTCCACCAGCCGGTGGCTGGTGAAGGGCTTCTTGTTGGGGTGGGTGGCCCGCAGGCAGCGGTCGCAGTAGGACACCTCGCAGGTGATGCAGGTCTTGACGGCGTCGCGGGGCGGATCCTGCTCGCAGAACTGGCAGGCGATCCTCTCGCCGGCCACGGACATGGTAGGGCTGTGGCGGTAGGTCCTCTCGCGGCGGCTCTCGCTGGGGGAGTTGGGGCCGCTCAGAGACGCCTTCTGGAAGCGGTCGATGATGTTCTGCAGGGTCACATTCCTCTTGAGGCCCTCCAGGCCCCGGTGGTTGAGGGAGATGACATAGCGGCAGGTCGGGCACTGGAAGGCGGTGATGGGCTCGATGGACTCGCTGGAGGAGCAGCTGGACACCAGAATGCGGTGGGCACAGCTGAAGCAGAGGCTGTGGGCACAGGGCAGCAGGAGGGGGTCCTCGAATAACTCCAGACAGATTGGGCAGGTCAATTCTGACTCCAGTGTTTCCATCTTTAGTTAACACAATCCTGATTCAGCATCAAAAACCAGGGAAGGTGGTCAGGAACCTGCAAGGAAGGAGAGCAGAGATGTGAGACTACAGCTGCACTCCTCCAGCAGCAGGTGCCTGGGGGGGTTGGACACATTACCCACGCAACACCCTGACACCCTTCACATTCTGACGCTGTCAACTCCAGCCCTGCCAGGCCCCTGCAAGCACAGGCTGGAGCTATCTCACCACACATGGAGCAGAGCCTGGAGTCGCAGTGGGACAGGAGCCGTATGGAGGGGATGGGAGAGGAGGAGCAGCAGGTCCTCTCACCCCTTCCAGACCAGCCAGGGCAGGACCTGGACCATAAGGCTGGAGACAAAACCAGGAGAAACCACAGGATTTCATGTTTGTGTTGGTGTGCGCTGCCAAGACCGGGGTGTGGCCATGCTGGCGTTCCATGCAGAAGGGCTGCTCTGCATGGCTCATATAAACATCTTAACATCCCCTCCAGCAGCTCCAGGCCTGCTTCTGGTGAAGGAGAAAAGGCAAATCATGTCGTGGAAACTCTGAGCAGAGCAGGATGGGTTCCCATCCTGCTCCCTGCTTTTCCTGGCCATTGCATTTTGGAGCAGGGTGGGGAGGGCATAGCAGAGAAATTATAGTTGGCAAAGTTCCACTACTGGCTGTCCTCCGCTGCACTCCACAACAGCCAGGGATACCTAAATCAACTCCAGCTGAAGGCAAACAAGCTGTATTTTTAGCTCCCTTCCCTTGCACGAGGCTGGAAAACAGTTCCCAGCAGGCAACTCAACCTGCTGCTCCCAACTCTGCTTTGTAGAGCACCAGGAGCTGCACCTCAAGTGCTACCCAGCCTCTGCCAGCATCCCAGCACATTTCCAGTCATGCAGTGATGTGGAACCAGACCCAGCCTCTCCTTTCTCACCCACCACCAGTGCACAAATGGTACCTCCCGATTTCCTCAGCCACAGCAAGGCAGGATCCGAGTGATGCCCACTGTGGTGTCCCTCATCGCGGACGTAAGGAGAACCCTGTTCAGTCACAGCCACAGGGACCCCTCACCCTGGCACCGCTGCAGGAACTGCCCCTGTGGGAGGGAACATGGTGCCCAGCCCAGCCTTGTTTTCACCCCTGGAACACCCTGGTGTGGTGCACAGGTTCTGCTTGCGGAGAAGATGAAAAACCCTTCCCTGGGAGGGTGGGCAGGCCCTGGCACAGGTTGCCCAGAGAAGCTGTGGCTGCCCCTGTATCCCTGGCAGTGTTCTAGGCCAGGTTGGAGGGCACCTGAAACAACCTGACATCGTGGAAAGTGTCCCTGCCCATGGCAGGAAATTGGATGAGCTTTAAGGTCCTTCCCAAACCAGAATGGGATTCTATGAAAAAGGGCTGTAACCAAAGTGTAGGGGGATGACCCAGCAGCAGGAGGGGGTCTGGCTGCTGGAAGCCCTGGGCTGCTGCTAGCACCTGCAAATGGCAAATTACACAGGTGCCAACTGGGACATGCCCACCCCATCCCACTGAACACATCAGCTCCATCACCCCCACCCCACTGCACCATCTCTTCCCCATTGTCTGAAATAGGATATGCAAGTGCCTGGAGGAAACCCTGAGCTCTTCCCTGCACCAGCTCAAGGGGCTTATAAAATAAATCCCTTGGATATTTTCATACGTTCATGCTGAAGCAGCTCCTGCTGGCCAAATGCAGCCCTGTACACATATACATACATTTAAATTTTTTTTTTTTTTTCCCCCCAAGAGAGACAGGGAGAAGTCGCTGGATCCAAACAAGCAGAGAAGCAGGAGGGCTCCCAGCAGCTTCCTCTGCACAGCCCATGGAGGGTTTCTGAAGCCTCGGAGCTGCCGCAGCCATGGGAAAGCAGCGGGGAGGAAGCGCTCCTGGCCCTGTGCCTGCTGGCTGTTCGGACTGTCCTGGATCCAGTGGGTGCAGGCCTGGCAGGAGGAGGTGTCCCAATACACCCCCAGTGCTCCAGGCACCTCCCAGCACTTGGGCTGGCAAACCTCCCGTGCTGGTCCCTCCCGGTGCCAGAGCTGCAGACACAGAGGCTGCCTGGCCCCAAGGGTCCCACACCCTGCTGTGCGAGCCCAGCTGGGGGGCACAGCCCCTCCTGCCTCCCCACATCACTCGCAGGTTCTTTCAGGTCAGAAAAGGCAAAAAAAAAAAAAAAAAAAGGACAAGAACAGGATTTGTTTCATAGCCTGACTAATACTGCGAAAATAATTTAAAAATCAGGATTGGCTAAAAGGCTCCCCAACACCTTGTCAGAGCCAGTTGTCCCACGGAACAGCATCTCACACTCCCACATCCAACTTCAGGCTGCACATGCAGCTCCATTGCTATCCAAGGGAAAACAATGCAAAAAGTTTAAACAGCCTTTAGTTTTGTAACTGAGGGACGTTTGTACATTAATCTTGTTTTCCTTGCTGGGACAAGAGCTTTTACCTGTGACACATCCAAGAGGAGTCTCAGGCTGGGACAGAAGCAGGAGCCCTCTCAGAGGTGTGGAGGAGGCACAGGAGCCTGCTCCAAGGCAGCTCAGCAGCAGGGACACGAGCCTGCCTGGAGGTGCCGGTGCCCTGCTGGAGGTGCAGGAGCCCCCTCGGAGGAGGGAGACGAGCCCTGCTCCAAGATGCTACACCTGGCAAAGCAGCCATGCTGCCATCAGAGCCTTTCATGCCTCTCACTTTGATGTTCTCTTTCATGTCCAGGACTGACACAGCTCAAGGAATAGTTGATTAGATTAAAATCTGCTTTCTTTAGAGTCATTAACTCCCTAAATATAAAAGTTATAAAATACTAACAACTGTTTATAGACAACCCCATGTCCTTTGTGCCCAAGAGTCAATGGCCCTGTCCATGCTGGCCTCTAATGACAATGTGCAGCACCAGCAGGTTAACAACACATGACATCCAACCAAACATTTTTCTGTGTTGATCTGAGCTTTGCCCAAAACTGAGGGAAAAGGGGGAGGGGATGGGAAATCAATGACTAACAGAAGAGATAGGCAAGGCCAGCAAACCCCAGGGGGGGCAGAGCTGAGGATGATGCAGGGCCAGTGCAGAGCTAGTGCCAGGTCCTCTGGGACACAGTGACCGCTGCTTTTACTTCCAGCCCAGATGGTCTCCAAACCCTTGGCCAGCCTGGAGCATGGTGAGGGTGCACGGGTTACCCTTGGCAAGTTACACCAAGGGTTCTTGGATACAAAGGTTCCCCCACCTCTTCTCCCAAATTATTATTTTCACAGTATCAAAGCACTTCATAACTGCCTCAAGTTCACGGGTTTGACAGGAGAGCTGCAGAGGTTTGGCACCAAGGGAAGAAGGAAGGAGAGATATGGAAGGAGGGATGCTGCCCACATCACCCCATCCATACCTGGGAGGGGGACATCCTAGTGTACCTCACCTGAGGCCACAGGCAGCCAATCCAAAATTCACGCTTTCCCCTCGAGCAGCATCCATTTTTACCCATGTTTTCCAAGTCCACATAAAATTCCCTCTGGTCTCTCCCAGCACCAACCCAGGGCAGAATTTGGCCAGTCTTCAGAGTCCCACACCAGGCTATCTAGATGTGTTCAGACAAATATTAATTCTGCAGGTTGGTATTTTCCACACCAAATATGATTATTTATTTCCCCTTCCCCTTTTTATCCCTCTTTTTTTCTTAACTTCCCCTCCCCCTCAAAAAAGCTCCAGCCGAGATTGCTCAGCCCCTTCCAAGAATGAGGCTTTAGAAAAGCTATGCTGCTCCACCCGTGCATTAACGAAAAAAGTAATAAAATATGGCAACCCTTTCCTTAATTGGAACAGTGACAGCAGGATACAAAATCTGGGCAGCAGTTGTCTCCATCCTTTTTGTTGTCCTCGGGAAAATTAGTTCAAAACGGGATCAGTGTTGAGGGGAGGACAGAACAGCCCGTGCAGCAGCCACATCTCGTTCGTCTCCCTCCTGAGGAGCCCAGCGCAGCCCCCACGGCAGCAGGGACCCGTTCTGCAGCTCGAGGGGGAGACGTCCCCCCTGCACTTCCCCAGCTCTGTCAATGACCCTGCACTCCTGCCAGCTCAGCCGTCCCAACCAACTTGCCTGAATCTGCCCTTGGGATGGGCCTGTCCAGGAGAAACAGGGTCCTAGGAGGGAACACAGCCCCAGCTGCATAATCAGCAACAGCTTCTGACCTAAGGAAGGCACCCCAGAGAGAGGGAAGGCCTCCAGGCTCCTCCAGCCAATTCACATCCACCGTTACTGATTTTTTCTGGGCTTTATTTCCATCAGCTGTGCATATTTAACACCAAATTTAAAGCTCAAAGCTGCAGCCAGCACGCAGCATCCCTCAGCCAGGCCAGCACAGAGCACCCCTTGGCCACATCATCTCCTCTGCTCCTCCCTCCCAGAACACCTGAACACATCAAACAGAACTTGGCCCTTCCTCCCACCACTCCCACCGTAATAAGTCCACAGATTTGTCTGAGGCTTTCTGAAAATCCCAATGATCTGTCTCCCAGCTGCCCTGCCCAATCACTTTATTGCCATACTAGAAAAAGAACACAGCCTGCTGCAGTTAAACTGGATTTCCCTATAAAAGCCTGTGTTGCTGTCCCTAATCCATCAAACTGAAACAGCATTTCCATACCAGCTTTAATTATTTTCCCAGCCAATTTGCTCAGTACTAAAGCAAGGTTGCTCCACATCATTTCCACTGCTCTCCCTGTATCTCTTAAATGAAAGACAGAGCCAGGAGGCTGGGTTCCCATGCAGCAGTTCACTTCAGTGAGAGACCCCTGTGTGCTGGCAGTTCAGTTGCTTCACTCTTAAAACGTCCAGAAGAGCCGCCAGAGCCCAGCAGGCACTGGCCATTTGTGCTCTTTAACTCTTCCATTTGCACAGCACCTTATTCCCTCTGGGAATTTCACCTTCATCGTGAAAGGCAGCTTCACTGATGGGATAAGACCATTTTGCTCCATCACAAAACCCCCTTACTCCTGGAATGTCTCCTGTCAGGCTCCAAGGTTGGGAAGGGCTGTCTTGGGTTTCCTGCATGGGA